ATTTCTCATACTGACTTATCAACTCAAGGCTCAATTAGTTAATATTTCTATTTTCACACCCAATATCCCAATTATTTATATAACACATATTCTTTAATTAATAAAATAAATCATATATCACACATCAATGCCAATTAAATCAATTATTCATGTAATCACCAAATTTAATCAACCAATCACATATTCACCAAAATCAAATAATTAGATAATTATCAAACCAAATAATAATTAACATAGCAAATAAATAATAAAATAATTAATAAAGAAAGTCGGGGTGTTACAACTCTCCCCCACTTAAAAGATTTTCGTCCTCGAAAATTACCTCAAACAAATAACTCAGGATTAGACTCCCTCATCTGACTCTCGAGTTCCTAAGTCACATTTTCACCCGCTGGTCCTCCCCGACCTACCTTCACTAAGGAAATCTCTTTACCACAAAGTTGTTTCAACTTCTGATCTTCTATCTACATAGGTGATGTCTCCACAGTCGGGTTATCTCTTACTTGTATATCATATAATTGGCCACATGAGAAGGATCTGTAATGTATCTCCTCAACTGAGACACATGAAACACATCATGGAGATTAACAAGCGACAGTGGCAGCGCAATCTGATAAGCCACTTCACGTACCTTCTCTGAAATCAGATAAGGACCAATAAAATGCAGGGTTAACTTACGCAACTTCAACGCTCGACCAACACCCGTTACTGGAGCAACTCGAAGAAACACAAGATCTCCCACTTCAAGTTTAGCTTTGAGACTAACCACTTCAAGTTTATGTTTGGAAGGAAGACCAACTGCTTCAATCTGTTGTTTCTCCAAGTATCGAATGAAGAAAATAAACACACGAGACAAAGAAGATGAATGCTTCATTCTTAATTTTTTTTCTTTCAAATTTAGACATGTTAGAAATTATATTGGAACATTTGTTAATAAAAATAGGGTTAATCACCATTTTGCCCCCTGCCATATAGGGAAAATTCCAAAAACAACCTTGTAAAAAAACACAAATTTCATCCTTGCCATTTGTAGATTCCCTCATTTTGCCCCCTCGCTGAATTTGATCAACAAAATTAATGATGTGATGATGTTGTGATGATTTTTTTCCTTTATTTTATTATTACGTGAAAACGCCACGTGGATTTTCATTTATTTAGCAACCCTTACCAAGAGACTATTTGATTTCCTTATTTAATAGATTGCATCAAAATATATATATATATATATATATATATATATATATATATATATATATATATATATATATATATATATATATATATATATATATATATATATATATATATATATATATATATATATATATATATATATATATTACATAGGTATTTTACATGAAAATTATTCAATTATATGTATGTTTACATAAATATTTTTGATTAGTTTCTATAAATTAATATAAATAAATTAACGTTATTTATGGTTAGTTTCTATAAATAAATAAATAACGTTATTTAAATATATTAATAAACTATAAATTAATGTTATTTTAAATATATTAATTAATTGGAAATTAACATGTTTTAATAAACTAGAAATTAATTAAAGTTATTAAATATTTTAAATATCAAATAAATATTTAAATATTAAATAGAAACGTTAAATCCTTTACAAAATATAATTGATTTTAGTTTATTATTAATAAATATTAAAATATATTTATTTTCTGTTTATTATTAAAAAGAATATTAAACATATTAAATTATTCAATTTATTACTTAATAAATTTATTCAAAATATTTAATAATTACTTTATTTATTTTCTGTTTATTCATTTTATTAAATATATTTTGTTTATTTCAATTAATTATATAATAAATTTATTCAAATATTTATAATGAAATTATTACAATTAAAAGTATATTAAATATATTAAATATAATTTTGTGTATGTTAAACATAATAAACTAAAATGTTTAAAAAATAAATTAACTAACTAATTATAATAATAATTAGAATATTTAAAAAAATAAATTAACTAACTAATTATAATAAAAACTGGAATGTTTAAAAAATAAATTAACTAACTAATTATAATAAAAATGGAATGTATTAAATATCAAATAGAAAATATATGTTATAAAAACAACTAGAGAAGAGATATATAATAAGGAATGAAATGATCTAGTGAAAGGGAATTTGGTTGGCATAGGTTCAAATTCCACCTAGACTAATTTTTATATTTTGAATGTTTTTAAATCCACCTAGATCAATTTTTATATTGGAATGAATTGTTATCAAATAGAAAAGTAACATGTGGCATTGTGGTAAAAAAAATTAAAATTGAATAAAAAAGCTAAAGTGGATAATCTACGTAATACTAAAAAAATAAAAATTATTTAAAAAAAATCACATGAAGGGCCATGTCACTGATTCAGTTGACCAAATCCAGCGAGGGACCAAAACAGAAGAATCTACAAATGGCAAGGACGGAATCTGTGTTTTTTTTAGTGTTGTTTTTGGGATTCGCCCTATATGGCAGGGGCAAAATGGTGATTAACTCTAAAAAATATCTAAGATTTGAGAATTGAAAATTTGATCCATTCCTGAAATCAAGAGACGGGAGTGCTTATAAATTTCAGGAAAAATCAAAGAAGGGTGAAATCATAGAAAAGTTTAACGGACTAGTTCAATTACTCAAAAATGAAGGCATAAGCTCAAAAACTGGAGAATCGTCAGCAACTTCATCAAACAACTCCAATGGTTTTCTTCGAAAGAACATACTTAGTAGTTTAACGATCTTCAAAAAATTCAACACCAAATAAAGGAACTTCATCTGTGAGAGAAAATTAAAAAGTCTCATCTAGTGGAATCTTTTGAAAGAAGAGAAAACAAAGCTTTCAAAAATGAAAATAAGTCAAACTCAGGGAGAACCATATAAGATTCTTCTTACAAAGAAGAAGATGGAGTGTGATTGAAAGTATCTCACGGGGAAGATGACAATGGGGTAACAAAGCCATCTTACAAGCAGTTGTTTAAAATAAGTGCTAAGTTAATTGAAGAAATAATATGATTAAAAATGTAACTTGAACCTTAAGGAGTATCTAGAGTTTCTTGAAGAAAGTAATAAAATACTTAAGTTAGAAATGGCTAATATTAGAAAATCAACATGAATATGTGAGACTTGTGTCTCGATGAAAAAGAAAGTGATAGATCAGCATGAAATCCTAAGTAAATTTACTAAGGGGAAAGAAAAATCTTACTTGATCTTATCAAGTTAAAGGCCTTCCTTAAATAAAATGGACTAGAATTTAAACTCGGTAGAGCACCTAGTAAAAGATTAAATAGGAAGAAATCAAACTCACATATTTATAAGTGTTCTTATTGTAATAGATTAGGTCACTTAGAGCGTTTTTGTTTTGATAAATTGAAAAGGTCTAAAGATAGTAATCCTAGACCTTCTAGAGCCACCAACGCACCTGAATCTAAGAAAATTTGAGAATCAAAGGTGAAACTCTAGTATGCTTTGCAGGGTTGCTTTGTAGATTTTATGAAGTCTTGGGGCATATTAAGTAAAGATGCGCAAAACAAAGAGTATACTCTTGAGTATACAATGGTTTGAAGTCTCTGATCCAAGAATAATCATTGGTGGTGTATCACCGATAGTGATCAATACAAAAAAATTCATTGAGGATAGCCTCGACATCTTCGATCCATGATCAATTAACCTCAGATACATCTGTTGTATACATATCTATTTCGTTGTTTAATCAACTCTTGTATCAATGAAAGGACACACCACAATGTGTTGGTGTTCCCTTAAAAGAGAGATGTTTTATCGAAGTTTCTTGATAATTGAGGTAGAACACTATTTTAAAGTTTAAATAATTGAAAAATTGCATTAATCCTTTAAAAATAATGTGCTTAACTTTTGCCCACTAATTAAAATAAGTTTACTAACCCAATAGATGATTTTCTTAGTCTTTTATAGAAAGGAGGTGCAAATAAAGCTAGGCAGTAGTGAAAAAAATTGAAAAAAGCCAAAGCAAATCCAACATAAGGCCCAATAATCACCAAGGAAGCTAATTCACACAAAGCTCAATCAAATGGAGCCTTGAGCCAATCAATTGGAGGACCTTCGCACTTTTCAAACTCAATAAAATTGAAACTTAGCCTCCAAGTTAATCAAGTCTTCGCATTGATGAAAATTGATCGAAATCCCTGGATATTTAATCACTCAATAGATTGGAGCATAAATCAAATAGATTGGAACACTATTTTTAGAATGATTTTGTTCTGATTTTAATTATGCACAATCTCGACTGATTTCTTGTAATGTTTATCTATATTAGAATTCAAATCAGTTGGAGAAGTGGGGATCATCCACACATAAAAAAAGGTATTATTGGAATGGAAAAAAATGATTTATGTGAAAAAACTATGTTCTAATTGGTCAATCCAAATAGGATTGTGTTATCTTAAAATTTGTCAATTCTGACAATACCATTACATATCATCATCCATAATATATTAAAACAAAACACATCTTTAGGCGCCAATTTTTGAGTAAAATCCCTTCTAAACATTTTTTAATCACATTATTTTTATTCTCTTTCCAACAAATATTATTTTAATATACTAATGAATATTTAATATTAATTACTCCAATTCATTACTCTATCACTAATTTCTGTATAATTCCCCTATTCAATCAATAAGAATCCTAAATTTCTAACATATAATATCTATCCATAATTTATCACGTGCATCGCACAAGAGCACAAGATGGAAGTTCTGGTTAGTATTTTGTGTTTTGTGAAAAGAACAATGATAAGAAGATGGTGAGTTTTAAACTCTTGATGTTTATACATTATTCAATCTGGAATGTGTAATCTAAAGTATGGCAAAGAGAATATTTTGAAAGAGAAACATTATACAATAGACGCAATGCATTTGATGTTCATACATTATACCATATTGAGGTTCAAATATTAAACAAGTACATTTTTTTTCTAAACTCATTTAGGAAATATAGATTTTAAAGTCCCCCAGTTGACAATTGCTCCATAGCTTCAGAAGAATCGTTTAAAATCCTAATAATGAAATGAAACAGAAAAATCCCAGGTCAGCAAGACGAAATTTGGTCAACTTTCAACTCTATATATTACTCACAACTCTATATATTACTCACATCACACTTACCGTTGAACAACTAGTTTATTCCCCTCAGTTACGTTCAAAATATTCTCCTCAACTGTGTTTGCAATGACAAACTTCACAACTCTGTAAAAGAAAGTGTCAGTTCATAAAGAAAGACATAGTTTTTACCTATGAAGCAAAGACACATACACGGACACGGATGCGCCTTCGTTCTGAAGCGTCGGTCCTACATAGATTGTTACTTTTTTTTTTTTTTTAAATTTGAGAATGCTAAAGAGCAAGAACCAAAACCTTATAGGTTTATATTGCCCAATTCGATGAATTCTGCCTAGAGCCTGAAGCTCTAAAGCTGGACTGCAACAAGGGTCCACAATGAATACCTTGTAGGTTTATATTGCCCAATTCGATGAATTCTGCCTAGAGCCTGAAGCTCTAAAGCTGGACTGCAACAAGGGTCCACAATGAATACCTTGTAGGTTTATATTGCCCAATTCGATGAATTCTGCCTAGAGCCTGAAGCTCTAAAGCTGGACTGCAACAAGGGTCCACAATGAATACCTGTCCACATCCAACAAACCAACAAATTTTTTAGCTTAATTCCAAGGAAAGTTAATATAAAAGCAAATTAAAAATGCTCACATGTGATGCTACTGTCAAATTGAGTGGAATACCACCAGCCCTAAAGGTCGTGAGCAAAATTCTGCAGTCTGGTTCAACATTAAATCTATTAACAACAGCATCCCATGCGGCCTGTGTCATGCTTCCGTTCAACAGAACGCAAGATACTCCGGACTGCAGTTAATGCATTTTCTATCATACTAATGCATTTTACATATATCAATAGAATAGAAGTTTAAAATTAGTTTACCTTGTACAAAGAGTAGTATATAAGATCTAAGAATGGTGTGAACTGGCTAAAAACAATCCCTTTTGCAGAACCATCTCTTTCAATCATGAATCTTATTTCTTCTCTCTACGATCATTATATTCATTGAGGGAATATCAGAGATAGTAAAATGTAACAGGAAACCAGAAAAGAGAAAATTTACAACGTGACTAATCATTCAGCGCTACATACCAAAGCCTCTAATTTAGTGCTTGTCTGAAAGTTCTCAAGCCCAATTTTTCTTAAAATTCTCGAGGATCTGAAATATTTAATCATGGTTTTATCATCCTGATCCCTAACATCCACGTTGAAAGTTAAATCAACAAGATCTTCTTCTGGCTCATGACAAATGCTACTTTCTTGTTTGTCAGCCGCATTACATGCCAGACTTTGAGAAAATTCCACAAGGTATTGATGATTTGTTGCCTGTACATTTAAGGAAATGTAAAAATGCATCTAATTTGTTATCAACAAATAAGTTAATCCTCTTAAGTCTCACTTAGAAGACATTGAATGAAACAGAAAAGAGCAGATAATCATATTTTTTGGGAATATTTGTTCAGAAGTGCAGTGATAAGAGGTAGAGAGTTTGATGTCCATCCCAATATAATACTGACAATACCAACATTTTTCGTTGAAAAAATATACAATCATATTTTCCCATAAAGAGGTACTATCTTAAATAAATAATTAAACTTTACTAAAGTGAACTGAAATTTATATCATATAATCCAACAAGTCATTCAGTTTTAAACAAAATAATTGCACTACAATATTACATAGTCGTTAATTTATCACTATGAAGCCCCCAAAAAGTCAATTGTAGGTGGAAAAAGGCATAAAACCGGTTGTGTTGTAGCAGAACAATTATCCACCTTACACAGCCGTGCGGTGGGGGCAAGGATTTCAATACCGGGAAGCCTTGTAGTATTTTCTCCAACATATCTGTACAAGAGACAGCATATCAATAAACAAATCCAGGATTTATGTATCCATATTTCTTTTAAAAGGATGGATACCCCCTATGAGGGTTAGCTAAACCTAGAGCAATTACATCTTAAAATGCACCCCAACCCAATAAGAACTTTATATGAAGAAGAATCTTCATGGTATTTTTGCTGTCTGCTAAGAAAAAGAATGACATGCCTATTAAGTTTTGCTTGAACTTCCTTCTCACTAAAACCTGTAGAAAAACATACAAGAAATTTACATCCAGTCTTTCATTATTAAAAATTGAACAATTATCCACATGGGAAACAACTTACAGTTTTAGGTGGAAGTGCAAGATCAGCAGCCCTGCCTATTTTTGTGCGTCTAAGTACCAAGTTTTTCAAAATTTTATGATTGAGCAATATCATAGCTTTTTTCCCACAAACATCATTGGATCGAGAATTTTCAATTGGTTTAGCAATGTACTAAGCAAGATTGAAAAATTAATAAAGAATATGTCAGCTGAAACTATTTCTCCTGGTTATTTTTGTAACTGAAAATTGAAAATATGAGTTATGTCTCCTTAACAAAAAAAGACAAAGAAGCGGCAGAACTTACTTTATTCCACCAATTGAAATGATCTGCAGAACCATGGGAGCAGTCTGAACATAACTCATACCTGTAAACAAAGGCACCAGGAAAACAAACTCAAAATTAACGATTAAAGAGAAATAAGTATTTTCAAAATGTAGAACAACAATGAATGCTGCTAGACCCTATCTTTCCATATATGCTTCATGTATGACTAATGCTTGCTAATGCACACAACTAATTGTATTAAATGAATCACCATACCTGTGATGAAGAACTTTACAATTACAGTGTTCGCAAAAGTAATAGGAATAAGGATCTATCTGTAGGTACCTTATCTGCACGCATGAAATTTCAATAAAATATCTTGATAACATAAGTCTGGTACATTACAGAACTACCGCCTAAAAAGCTTTGCAAAATTACCACAGGATACAACTCTCCCGGATGGTTCTGAAATAGAGTGCCACTTAATGCCCATTTGTAGGTAGACTCTAAAGCAAAAACTGCTTGAGTGGTATTAGAGCATTTGTCTTTTATATAGTGTGCCTGATGTTTAATAAATATAAGATAAAATGGTCAGTAAAATGGAAGAAAGAAAACTCATCATTTTCAAAATACAGAAACTAAACTGGCACTAAATCAAAATTGACCTCATCCAGTATGATCCGCTGCCACTTTACAGCATATAGGGCTGGCATAGCATTTGTTTTATTTTTCTTAACTTGCTTGGATGGTTTTTCTTGTCTAACAACACTAGGTCCTTCACGATTTCTCTCATGCCAATTTGACATGTTCCTGCTCTCAGATTCAACAATAGAGTATGAAGTTGTCACAAAATCATACTCGAGAGCTGTTTCCGATTCTTAACTCTACCTGCCCCATGATAAACTAGAACCTTGGTGCTTCCTTTCAAAGTACATCGGTCAATCTCATCGACCCACTGAGTGATAGCTACCACAGGACAAATGACAAGAGTTCCTTTGACCAAGGGCGATTGTGAAAATGCAAATCTATTTTGTTGGAGTTCTCGTTTGGCAAGGACAAGGGCAATTGCTTGAATGGTCTTTCCCATTCCCATGTCATCTGCAAGCACTCCACCTTTGAAATTGTTTTCCTGATCGAAAGCCCAAGCCAACCATTCCTTTTGGAATCTAAGCAAAGGTACAATGAAATCAGAGGAGGCCTCAGCAGTTTCATTCAACATTTCACTCTCATAATCTTTTGCCCTATGGTTAATGTGTTTTGCTTGTGACATTATCATATGAACAAATATCTCTAGCTCCTTTTCCCTCTCTTGCCATATCAACACTGGCTTTTCCTTTTTGATTGACTTCCTTCCAACTACCTTCATTTGAGTTCCTGTTAAATCAATGGGAAGTGGCTACTGCGGAACCTGAACCATTGGCGATTCATTGTTATCTTTGTTCTCTATTACTTCATCAACAACAATACCACTTGATTCTCCAGCATTATCTTCTTCAAAATCACTTTCTTCCGCATAACTAGTCAAAATTAGTCCTACATCAAAACCAAACCAGGATTTAAGTTTTTCTCAGACCTACAATAGAATGAAATTACCAAATAAATGATGCATTGACTCATAAACATTTCAAATATCATCCTATAATAATAATCAGAGTGTTCTACACTTTCTTAACAGTCACATTAGCATAATTAAATTATTGTGTTTCCCGTAATATTAAGTCTGTAACAGACAGTGCGGTTCAATTCAAGAAATCAAGAACAACAATTATACTAGCTACTACTGCAACATTCTTTTTCCATCTAAATGAGAAACAGAATTGCGTATAATGGAAAGAAAAGTGTAGAAGATGCAAGAAATGATCAAGAAAAAGGTATGATCAAAACATGCATTCAACAGAAAGAAAAGGAAAATTGAAAGATTACAAAGAATACCAGAAGATCTTGCATTGGAAATGCGTTGACTACGACGAAGCTCCATTGGAATTGGAGTGAATAAACAGAAATGGTTCCAACAGTGAAAATATGCTCTCAATGAAACTGTTGGTATTTAAGGGAAAAATTGAAAAGGAAAATGAAGCGGCATAAAAAAGAATAAATATAATCCAGTGTGGTATAGAGTATTATAGCTTAGAATGTGACTCACTCTTATTGAAACAGAAAAGGGAACCTATAAGCAACTTACAGTTACACGGTGAGCGCGCATTGATAGGAGGAGCGCCGAGAAGTGATCGGAAGGCAGAGTTAGCGGCGGCGTTTTGGGATGAAGAAACTGCACAATGCAAGTTGCATTCCATAGCGCAGATTCATGCAGAAGACACTGGCTGCACAATACAAATTGCACTCTCGAAATCGTAAGCATGGCTCACACCAACCGAGACAAACAATAGGATCATGCACAGTTGCTGCAGTCTCGTCGTTCAACCGTGTTCTGCTTGTAACCTTCTGTGCCCAATTCATTTTGCAGTAACGCGTAGTCATCGGAATAGGAAAAGATCGAATGACTTTATTTTTAGTATTTGGTAATTTTAATTATTTTTTTCCTTCTACATTTTAATGGTTTGTACTACGGTGTTCGTGGTGTGGTTTTGGTTGTTTTGAAGCTAAAAATTATCTAAACCGTAAAAAAAAATGCATCTTTCGATTTGATTCGATTGACTTTTAAAAATAAAATCAAACTAAACTACTGCGATTTTAGTTGTTTCGGTTGATTCTCTCAATTTCCTTATTACTAAACTTAATTTAGTTTCTTAGATTTTTTTATTAAACTTTTATTAAAATTAATCAAATAATTAGGTTAATCATCAAACTTTTTCTATTAAAAATCACAAAACAATTTCTTTTCTCTTTTCTTTATTTTACAAATCTTCATTCATAAATTAGGATTTACTGTTTTTCATCTTCATTCATAAATTTGTACTCCTCATCCTCGAATCCTTGTAATAGCGTAGAATGTTTAATTTCTGCAATTTACTGTTTTCCTTATTATTGTTAGTAATTAGGGTTTGTATGGCAAGATTAAAATTAACCGATTGCAAAACCCTAATTTCAAGACAAAAATACCTGAAATTAAAACACTTCGCACACACACCTCTAGGATAACCTCACTTATTGTCTCATATTTAAACAGTCATGTCTCTTGAACATGGGATGCTTTAGCAAAGACCCTCAGTCAAAATATCGTAGTCCTTCGATGACCCTTCGATGCTGCCTTCGATAAATGATCTTAGTCCCTTGCGACCAATTGCTAAAGCATCTTACAAGTTGCCTTCTATGACTGTAGATGAGCCACGTCTGTCTCTCACATTCAATGAGAGTGCTTTCTACCAGCTAATGGTGGGATAACACTATCTAAAGGAGGAGGAAAAGAACAAAGACATTTTGAGTAGGTAGATCGCTCGTAATCGTTTGCTCACAAACTAAAACCATCTTCACACCTTACACTTTCAAAACAACTACTTAATTATTTAATTAATTATTTAATTAAATATTTTTGAACTTTTTTTGATTTAATTGTCGAAGTTGTGGAATGTTGATTTAAGTTGTGTTGTTGTTATTTGAATTAATTTATTTGATTAAGTTGTAGAAATAGTATTAGAATAATACTATTACTAATTAAGTGGGCTTTCAATAGTTAGAAGTAGGAATTGTAGGGGTGTAGAAATGAGGCCCAAAAGATTAAATAAGACAAATAGAATAATTGTATTATTATTATATTGGTTAGTTGATAAGAGAAAGACAAGGATAAGTAGTAGTAAAGGAAAAATAGGTTATCATAGAAGAGGAATAAGGATTTGGAGAAGAAAGAATTACGTAAAATTGCTAGCAAGAAGAAAATTTAGGAGTCAATTGGAAAGTTAGAGCAACCTTCAATCCAAGGTAAGAGTGGAGTTTTGACTCTATAATAGGGTATGTGATGAATGATATGTGGGATTGGGTTGTAAAATTGTTTTCGTTTGTGTTTGAAATTGATATATTGGTAAAATTGAGAGATGATTGAGAATCAAAAATTGGCATATATGTATATTGTAACGATACATATACAATAGCTTTACTTTATTATATGGTACACTTAGGAATTAAATGGAGGATATGTCATTTAGTGGCTAAATTTTTTGTTGTGGAAGGTTAGATAACTTAGAAGAAACTAAGTATGTAGGTTCTTCTCTTGATATTAATAAATTTATATCAAGGCAACGGGTAATAAGGGTTTTTTAAAACTAAAGAGGTGTTTTAGTATTTTTCTTATATTCGTCGTTTTCCCGGAGAAGGGAGTGTCAAAATAAATTTGGAAAAAAAAATTTTGCTAAAAAACATTGAACATCTTTGATTTAGGAGAGATCCTTCTATCCCTTAGGGTTGATAGTTAAACAACATTTTGTTTGCAAAGATGACTTATTAGTTGTTGTCTAGATATATTTGTATTAAGATCAAGAGTTATATTTACCTACTTAGTTTTACCTAAGATAGCTAATCAGGCACAACACCCTTAGCCTGTCATATTTATGGATTCTGATGATGATAATCATCAAAACAGTTTGATTAAACATGAAGAACTTATGGAATATCCAAAAAAATTGGATAAACTTAACAAATGGACAATTCCATCAGTACCTTCAAACCAAATTTATAAATTTGGTGAAATAGATATATCATCTCGTTTTGCTGTTAAAAGCTTAGAACAAACTATTCAAATTTATGAAAGTACTCAGACAATCAAACTTTTAACAAAAAAGGATTTACTTCCTTTTAAAAATTATAATTATATCCATGTTGGTTTAATACAAGTTGTTGTTAAACCTTTAACTTTGCTAGGATTAAATACTAGCATCCTGAGATATATTAGAGATGGTAGATGTAAAGATTTTAAACAATCTTTAGCTGCTTTAATTGAGACAAGTTTGTGTCATAGACCAGTTTATTTTGATGTCTCTCCCAATATAAGTTTATCTATGTCTGATACAAATTTATTAGATGCTCTTCAATTAACTATTCATACTAATGGTTATAATTTTAAACTTGGAATTGAAATTATGGCTATATGTTACATGATATATTACAAAGTTCTTACCACTTTAAACCCTAAAGCTAAAAAAATATCGTTTCATGGAACTACTACTTTAGTTCAAACTAATTTATTAACATCTAATATTGCAACTAATAGGTTGCTAAAATGGGATGAAATTAATTTTCCAGAAACCTGGAATCTTCCTCAGGTCATAGAACCTGAACCCATCCTTAATAAGGATGTTGATCAAATAATCCAGACTAATGAAGGAGATTTGGAGATAAACTTTAACTCTAAAAGAATGATTAGAATACCTAGATCTATGTCTGGAAGACATTTTGTAAATTTTATAGATGAGTTTTACACTGCTCCTAGTCAATTAGCTAGACCTTCAACTTCTCAATTAAGAGAAGAAATAGAAGTCGTTGAGAATATAAGACTTAGCGAAAACAAAATTCCCCATGGTATATATCAAAAACCAAATCCTCCTAGAGTAGAATCACATACTCCCTCAGATATGGACTTCCCGTTATAATGTTAGATTATTCCCCAGGTAGTAATCTAAGAAACTTTGTCAATGACGAATTTCAGCATGAAAGATACGTTCAATTTAGAAAATGGTTTTTTAAAACTTTTTCCTGTTCCAGTGTTAGCTAGCTTTAAGGATGAGTATTATACTCAGATGTCTATGAACCAAGATTTCATTCCTTTTTTCAAATTGTTTATTAGTTACTTTATAAGTAAACAAAAAGAAGAGTTAGTTTTTATGAAAAAAGACGAACTTTTAGTTCTACAAAAATCGTGGGAAAATATCAAAGGAGAAAAAATGGAATCTCCTTTTCCCCCAGAGCAAACCATAAGTTTGGGGCCTCATACTGAGGCTACACCTTATCTTACCCTTCAATTATAAAGAGTTAAACAAAATCGGGTTACTCTTAAGGATTTAAATTCCATAATTAAATCCAATAATTACACTAATGCCTACCTTGTTTATCTAGGAGAACAATTTATTTCTCTAGAAAAAGAGCTCTTATCCGTAAAAGACCTTTTAGACAAACAAATAGCTCGTCAAAAGGTTATTATTGACCTTATTAATAAGCCTAAGTTTCAGGAACAAGCTTCTACCTCCAATATTTCAGATGTTTCTATAATCCAACCTCCTATTCCTATAGAAGGATTTAAAATGGAAACCAACGGAGATGAGTTTGTCCGTATTCTTGAGAAAAAGCTTAAAGATTTACATTTAAAGGTTATGTATAATCAAGACTCTTCTAATGAAGAAGACATTAATGATTTAGCAAATATGTTTGTTGACTTAGACATTAGTAATCAAAATACTAATGAGATAAACCTTATTAATA